GCACACAACTATGCGTAATTTCCATCCCACCAATCCCTACACACAACTATGTGTAAAATTACAAATTGTTACTAAAATGCTACTTTTTATTTTTTAAAGAAAATGAGCTGCTCGTGTAAAAAAAAAAAAAAAAAAAAAAATTGAAAAAACATGTGTCTTTAGGATTTAAAAAAAACTTCTTGTTATTGTCTGTATGACATGTTTTTGTCATTAGTTTAAATATATACAAGCTTGTGAGAGTTAGTCGTCTTAATCCGAAAAGTCATTACACCGGCGGTCATTAAAGGGGTCAATGCATATATAGTGGGCGGGGAGGGGGAGAGAGAGACACCAATAAAAGACACAATAATTTTTGTGTCAATAATCAGATCTTTTTTTTAAATTTTACATTTAAACCCCAGGAAAGTCGGCCACATTGGTAAATAAACTGTTAAAGAGGGGCACAATTGTTAAAAATGGTTTTGAGAAACGTTGCGTTATACCATGTTGAGGTCAATTGTAATTATTAAATTGCTCGTTATCTTTGACGTAAGGGGGAATAAATGTTGTCCCATATGACAGAAAACTTGTCAATTATCTCCCGTCTGATGCTGTATCTTGTCAATCTTGAAGTCTTCTCGGTGAGATCGTCCTGGGTATTGAGCTATTATAAAAGGTGAGCTGCTCCGATGGGTGTTTTACACACACTACCACAGCTAGACCAGAAAATACACCTTCTTCTCTCAAACATCTACCACCATGAGGTCGTACCTGATACTTGCCTTCGCCGTGGCCCTAGTCTTGGCCGTTACCACTGACGCCCAGGTAAATCTATTCCAAAAAATAATACATGTTGCAATAATTTCACCAATTCGCTTAATATTTTCAAATGTAAATGTAAGTGAATGTAATATCTATCTTTTGCCGCCAAAGGTATGTATAGGCTCAATGCTCATTCGGAAGGGGCGCTCAAAGTCTGACCCGCAGGGGGGGGGGTCAGGTTTGGCAGGCGTGGTCATATCAACTGGCCCGTCGACAATTACAGATGTATTTTTGTTTGATAAAAGATATTAATTTCTAAAGCTGCCTCGTGCGTAGAGCTAAAGTAAAAAAAAAATTTAAAAAAAATAGACTCTCTTCAGTGAACTGAGAATACCTCAAAAACCCCCACCGCCATATCCCCCCATTTATATGGACTCGGTCTTGTCAGTCTTCTTGGGGTGGTTTGACCAAAACCTCGATGACATCACTGCATCCTAATATTTCGCAAACCAGTAGCAGTCTCCTGGTAGAAGAATGATCGAATTCAACCATTGGGAGAATAGCAGGTCATTGGTTGATTGAAAGTTTTTTTTTTTGGATCAAAGGCTGATCACAGGGGAAAAAAAAAGAACACAAAAACAGATCATGGACACAGTAAGAGCTGCTTGAACTTCACTCTACCTACGGGACATTTTGAGCAGTAAAAATCAGTTTCAATTCTATCAATTCTAACACGGACATCTCTCAGGGACCAAGGGATGACCAGTAGAACACTGGTCTTCTTTTAAAAAAGTGAGGGCCCAAAAACTGTATTGAATTTCAGGACTAAAATAAAGTTCGTGTTCACCGTTACTTACTGGCAAAGCGTCATACAAGAAAAGTACTTCATGAAAACGTGTAAATCTATGTTTTTAAACTCTATCTAAATTTTGCGTTGTATTTACCATAAAATGACCTTTGGGGGGGGGGGGG